TAATTTATTTTGCCCCCATTTATGTTTTTATCATCCTTGTATAATTTTCAGGAAAATGCATTTTCAATGATTTGGAAAATGGACATCGTCCACGATATGAACAAAGCTATTTGCAGGGCACATCTTTACAAGTTAATTGCTATCCTGGATTCACGCTTCCAGACAAGCAGACCACAATGACCTGTACGGAGAATGGCTGGCGCCCTCCTCCCAGGTGCATCCGTGTCGGTAAGAAAACTGGTCTAAGATCCAGTCTGTTTGTGATTGTCTAAGACTCATGTGTAATAACTGTGGCAAGAGGTTTCTATCAGCTTCCTATTTTGCCAATGGCCCTACTTGGTTTTATTTTTTCAAGTGTGTATGAGTGGAAACAGCAATTTCTTGGTATATCAATAGCAAAATAAAGAAGGCTATGGTAGACATTAATTAAAAAAACAAAACAAGCCGAGACCGGTTTGGCTCAGCGGATAGAGCGTCAGCCTGCGGACTGAAGGGTCCCAGGTTCGATTCCGGTCAAGGGCATGTACCTGGGTTGCGGGCACATCCCCAGTAGGGGATGTGCAGGAGGCAGCTGATCGATGTTTCTTTCTCATCGATGTTTCTAACTCTCTATCTCTCTCCCTTCCTCTCTGTAAAAAAATCAATAAAATATATTTAAAAAAAAAAAAACAAGAAAAGACAACAAAGAGCAAACCTATAATAACAGTGTCGTGATCAAGATGGCAGATTAGGAGATTCTGTCACAAAGAACAGAGATTCTGACAGTCACCCTGCATGAGGGCTCCGGGAACCCAGTGAGAAGTTTCACACACCGTTGGAGCCAACAGGCTCTGAGAGCAACAACTTCACCCCGAGAGACTCCTCCCAGAGTGCTCCTCTTGAGCGTTTGAGGTTGGAGACCTCCAGTCCTACTGGCTTGATGTTCCGTGTTGGAAGACTAGGTTGTTCGGGTCAACGTGATCTAGTCAAGGATTGTTTTCATAGGATAAGGCCGATGTGGGAGCCTTTACACAGAAGAGTTTATTCAGGGTCTGGATGGAGAAGGCCTCTTCTAGTCTCTCTACTAAGTGATTGTGTTTAAGACCTGTTCCCATGTGACTGATTAATCTGAATGTTTCCAGTGCTGGGTGTGCCCTGGGATCTTGGAATTTGTTGTTTCCTGGCAGCTCTTTCCTCTGGTAGTTGTGCTCCGCCCATTCTCAGGGGGTTCCACCCTCGACTCTAGGGGGATGTAGTCACCAAAAATCTAGGATCACCGTGCAGGTTGGTAGAGGTCTCCCCCCCATTCCAGGGTTCTTTCCTCTCTGGTTATGGACATTCAGAGTGTGGCGGTGTCGGCCTCTTGGGGAACAACGCCTTTGTTTCTCCTGTTCAGTGGGACTGACATGTCTGCTTGGGTGTTCCCTTCCTGGGCTGTGATCTGGGAAATTCCCACCTTCCAACAAAGCCCTGGTGAGAATGGAGAGCCCATCAGTTGACCCTATGTCTCGGGAACCTTAGTTATGCACTGGCTGTGTCCATACGCCTCACAAGGTCATGTTCATAGATTTGGCTCCGTTTCCTCATTGTGTCTGTGGCTGGCACTCTCTTCATTGTTCCTTCCGTGTGTTTATCCATTTTAGTGCATAGTTTCAAGGAAGCACCGTTTGACTCTGTACATTCTCTTTAGTGTTTGGTTTCTAGTTGATTCCTGCTCACATGTTTCTGTTTTCCAGTTGGTTGTTCCTTTATCAGCATGAATGGGGTGTAACTGAAAATGGGGATTGCATATGTTTAATGCGGACAGCTTGCTATTTTGATATAAGCACACGTGGTGACATGACCACCAGATGGAGCTGCGTAGCGCATCCATCACCTCACATAGGTGCCATTGCTTCCCATGGGGTGAGAACACTTAAGCTCCACCCTCTTAGCTATACTGAACCCAATCAGGCACAGGAAAGGGCCTGTTGCTAGGAGAGTTCTGGGGGGCTGCGGGCTTCCAGATCATGAGGCAAACTGATTTTTAATAATTTCTTACAAGGCATCCTGAGTGTTTTAAATCTGGCTTAGTTCCCCCAAATGTTTTTAATATCTAGGATTAACATTTTTGGAAACTCATAACCTATTTTCTCTGACACAATGCTTTGAATGATTAGGAATTTTCCAGGTTTTCATTGACAAATGGCCCTTATTTCTCATGTTGTAATGTTGTGCGAGTCCTTAGGAAACTGTTTCCTGACCATGTGCTTACCGTTTCCTTACGCTCTCTTCCTTTTAGAAACATGTTTAAAGTCAAAGGTAAAAATTGAGAATGGATTTATTGCTGAGCCTGGATCTAACTATCTCTTAAATCAAAGAGTAAAATATAAGTGCAAACAAGATTATGTAACAGAAGATGGTCAGACATCCGGGTATATTACATGTCTCCAGAATGGATGGTCTGCTCAACCCAGATGCATTAGTAAGTCATTCATGACCACCAGTGGTGTCCGTTATTTTAATGGCTGTTGAATGAATGTTTACTTTACTGATTTCTTTTTTGTGGGGTGGTGGAAGCTGCCATAGTTCTATTTGAAAACACTAAATAAGAAATTTTTTAGAAAACATATGTACTTTTTTTATCGGTTACAATAAATTACTAGTGAGGTAGATGTAAGTCCACCATTCAGTTCAAGGTTTATCCCCGTAAACCATCCTGCGATTTGCAAACTGCTTACGGGCCTTTGTGGATTCCGCTGTAAGCTCATCGTTTTGAGCTGAGGTCCTGCCCTGTTTACCTGTTTGCAGGTGATCAGACTTTCCTCTCAGAGTCTCAGTTCTTAGACATAAAAGTTAGGTTTGTAAGTGAAATGTGCGCTCACAGGACACAGGTTAGGGGAAAGTCACTTGTGTGATTTATGTGTTCGGTGCTGCAGGGGTGCTCGTCTTCTGAGCAGCCACTTCCTCCAGGAAGCCCACAGGAATGCGCAGTGAGTGGAGACTGTGAGATGCTCCTAGACACAACCAGCGTCGGCGGCAGGGAGGAAGCTCTCTACTTTATGACCTCGGAGTTTATGAACATTCCCTAGACAGTTCGCTCATTTTGTCTTGTTCATCCCAAAGCCACGTGGTGATAGTTTTCATTCACTTTAAGTGAAGGAGATATTTAAAATGTCCATTCCTATTGTTTTCAATGCTTTCCATTTCCATACGTACCATGGGAACCAGCCAAAGGAAAAATGATGTTGTATCCATATCAGACTCATTTTATATTAAATTGTGATCAACTGTTCATTAGAACACTCTTATTAGGAAAGAGTAAATGTGTTTATTATTTTTAGTATTATAATTTTAGTTTCTTTTTTTAACACTTTAAGCTAGCTAGCTACATAGTATGTTATAAAATAAGAGGTAAATTATTTAATCTTTTATAAACACCACTCCAATATAGGGTTAGTGAAAATTGTGACTATTTTTTAGCATTTTGCTTTCTTATAATAATTATAAATATAGAAGTATCTTTACATTCAACTTTGATAAGAATAAAAGAATATATAGTCATTTAAAATATCTGGAAAAGCTAAATTAGCGTATGAGATTTAAAAATTAGTATGTGTTAAAGGAGAATTGTATAGAATGTTTAATTGTATAAAATGTTAAATTTACTCTCAGTAGTGAAAAATAACTTTTTTGTTGAACCAATTTGGTTTTTTCTGGCATATATGTCACAATTGCTAATAACTTTGGCATCTACACTCACAAAATGCTATATTCTGCTTTGCCAAAAAAAAAAAGTACAATGTATCTATTATGGCCTATTTTATTGCTAACACGAATAAATGTCTAAGTTTAATTGCATTGAGAAAAATGTTCTTAAAATAAAGGTTTTGGTGATTTAAGTGCCGGTAAAACTTCTGTGTAGAAATACATGCTTTTTTTATGAGTAACGATTTTAGGACAGTGATTTATCACTAATATGCATAGATTACTTGTATATGATGCATAATTTATTAGCACATGCTAAGTGATAAAGCTCTTTTATTCTTGGGATGGAACTTACGCAATCGATTGTCCATTCAATAATATTAGAAGTGAAATCTTCAATTCTATTATGCATTAGAATCTTGTGGTGTTCCAGTATTTGAGAATGCCAGAGCCAAAAGTGATGGCACGTGGTTTAAGGTCAATGACAAGTTGGTCTATGAATGCCAGAATGGATATAAAAACCGAGATGGACACACTGTAGGCTCCATAGTGTGTGGTGACAATGGTTGGTCTGATACACCCACCTGTCAGGGTAAGTACTGATTTTCAGGATCATCGAAATAAACAAAATGTGTGTAAAGCATATAATTGTTTTGTTATCCTAAACACAACCTTTTATATTATGTAAATTTAGGTACTCATGACCCAAATTATGTTTTACAACTTCCTCAGCAGTTTTCTCCCGAGATGGTTCTTGCCACCTCCCAGCCAAGTGTTCATTCCTGCAGGTCCCAAGAGGACTTCCTTATTTCCTGATTGTGGACAGTTCTGAGGACAGTTACACGAATCCTGCGTGTCTGCCAGCCCGCTGTCTGTTTTCCGGGGTTAGAAATAGAACCTCCATCTGTGGGCACGTGGGTGGACAGTTTGTGTAAAGCTTTGAAAACCAAACAATCCTTGGGAACTATGAGGGTTCCACTGAGGAAGGGAGGCAATTTTCCGGTGGAGATTGGGCCAGAGTG